GCGTAATGAAGATTGTCACGTGTGTTTGATATATTGAATTTGTAGTGTTGACGTGCCTGAATGCTAGGCAAACATAAGGCGAGGGGAGAGAGTCTGACGTCTGTACAATCTCTAATCAAAGACAATTTGATAAGCATATCTGGTGCATAGTGTTGATATGGGTAAGGCATCATAACACTTTAGGACAACATAAGACTATGGGCAACGCAGAACTATACGACAACACAGGACTAAAGACACTACAACTGCAGACTACACAGCACTTCAGACAACACAACTGCAGACTACACAGCACTTCAGACAACACAACTGCAGACTACCCAGCACTTCAGACAACACAACGGCAGACTACACAGCACTTCAGACGACACAACTGCAGACTACACAGCGCTTCAGACAACACAACTGCAGACTACACAGCACTTCAGACAACACAACTGCAGACAACACAGCACTTCAGACAACACAACTGCAGACTACACAGCACTTCAGACAACACAATTGCAGACAACACGGCACTGTAAGACGACACAGAACTTCAGACTACACATCACTGCAGACATCACAGAACTATAGGACAGCACGGCACTAAAGATAATATAGCGTCTTCCCCCATTTTTAAATGAAAACAAGTAAACTGTTGCTTTTCTTGGACGAGCTCAATAAGGTTCGACTATTGAAAAGTTTAGAACATCTGGAAATGAGAAATGAAATCGAGGTATCATTTGAAAGATAGGATTATCTAGGTCACGCTGTTACTGTGATACTCTAGACTGTGTCCGTCATACTCTAGACTGTGTCCATCAAATGTTACTGTGATACTCTAGACTGAGTCCATCAAATGTTACTGTGATACTCTAGACTGTGTCCATCAAATGTTACTGTGATACTCTAGACTGAGTCCATCAGATGTTACTGTGATACTCTAGACTGAGTCCATCAAATGTTACTGTGATACTCTAGACTGAGTCCATCAAATGTTACTGTGATACTCTAGACTGAGTCCATCAAATGTTACTGTGATACTCTAGACTGAGTCCATCAAATGTTACTGTGATACTCTAGACTGAGTCCATCAAATGTTACTGTGATACTCTAGACTGAGTCCATCAAATGTTACTGTGATACTCTAGACTGAGTCCATCAAATGTTACTGTGATACTCTAGACTGAGTCCATCAAATGTTACTGTGATACTCTAGACTGAGTCCATCAAATGTTACTGTGATACTCTAGACTGAGTCCATCAAATGTTACTGTGACACTCTAGACTGAGTCCATCAAATGTTACTGTGATACTCTAGACTGAGTCCATCAGATGTTACTGTGATACTCTAAACTGAGTCCATCAAATGTTACTGTGATACTCTAGACTGAGTCCATTAAATGTTACTGTGATACTCTGGACTTTGTCCATTAAATGTTACTTTGATACAGCAAACCGTGTCCATCAAATGTTACTGTGATACTCGATACTGAGTCCATCAAATGTTACTGTAATACTACAGCAGAAGAAATAGCGTACTTAGTTAACCGCCTAATATGTCTAGAAAATAACTTCGTCAAGTCACTTACGCGTCATACAGACTCTATCACTACTGCATAATGCATTTAAATGTTTGATTGAAAAGCCGGCCGTGTGACACTTTGTAGACGCAATGATACTGATTGTATAATGGCTACTACTTCAGTGTTTATAATGCCGACCAGAGCCTAGCCAGAATTTATCTTATACAGCACTTCACATTTGATATACAATGTACCATCCTTACTGTAGACTTTCTCCACGCGATACCCACGTAATTTTGCGACGTCATTGCGGAAGCAGGATTTGGATTACAACATCCGTCAATTAGACAGGAATTGCATCAAAGTATGGGTGTCATGTTCGGCCATTGAAAGGCTACTCTCTGATAAGTAGGTGTTTTTGCATGGTGATACGTTTGGGTCAGACCTGCACAAATTACAGTATTTGATGAAGAAAAAAGTTAACCGTAAATTATCAGGGGCAAGAGGCCCGCTGCATGTTTACATGCTGGAGACAACATGTCAGATTGTCATGTCAACTAACAACATCAGCTTATTTCAAAACAAAAATCTTTTCAGCGATGTTTCCATGTTCTTATGTCTTTATATTTTGTTAATCTCTTGCTCCAGATATACATGTATTCTATGGGTTTTATGCTGTTTTACAGCTGGTTAGACTGTAACCTGTCACCCTGTTTAATTGTATCATTCACACGGTGAATACATTTATTCGACATCTGTTTGCTATTGTTTTTGTGGTGACGCTCATAAGAAATATACCACAAAACTGAATTCCTGTGAGTACAGCATCCATACCAGTAAGTTTTACCGTTACATGACCGCGAGATTCTTTTGATGAACATCAAAGGATCAAACTAGCCTTCTCGTCTCATCCGCAAGGCGTTGCGCACTGAGCCTTCGGTTTTGCTATGATATATTCCAGGGGTAAAGAGAGCCAAAGTGAGCTCAACCCCTGGATATCGAGGATGGCCAAACGTGAGATCTCGGAGGTTTTTGTACTTAGTATGCAAGTTTCTTGGGAAATTTCTGACAACTTTACCTAGATAAAACGTGATGACAAAAAGTTAAACATATACATTGTATAAATTAACATTGACATGAAAAACAGCGAAAAGAAAGGAAAAGTATGAAGATAGAGGTGGAAGAAGGGAGCGAGGGGAAATATTCCCGTGAGAATATTTGTCCACCAATTTGTTCAAAACCTTACACAAGACTAATAATATTGACATTCGTTTAGAATGGAAGAGTCGCATCTCCGTATAGAAGTGTTTCGAAATAGTGGAATTGTTGAATGTCAATGCTCAAAAGAGCATTATATAATCCTATTTGAGGATTTGAAAATTGAGTACAGACAAAAAAAATATTAGCATATTTATGAATTATGCTCATCACATTGCCAAGCAGCGAACAAATACCTATACGGAATAAATCATTTAAGACCATTAGAGGTTTATCTAATTCGTGCTGAAAAAATCGATATATATCAGTTAACGAAATTCCAATATTTTGGTAAAAAAAAACACTTGGTGTGAGTCATACTTCACATTAAATGCAAAAGATGATATTTTCATGACGGATTTATCAAGTTCGTTTGCATAAGCCTTTCTTTAACTCATTCACCCCTGTAGTTTTTTTAATGAACTATCCCAACCTTTGAATTGGAAGAGTTCAAATGTGTCTTCAGGGGTGAATGAGTTAAAGGACATACATGACTTTTGAAGGACATGTAATCTACAACGCGGCAATCGATAAGAGTTACGGATGTCATGACTAACTTCTTTTGTTCTTAAAGGAGCCAACGATGAAGATAATCCGGAACTAATTCATTGTGAATATGATTATAAGTGGAGAGTTTAATCTTTCCTATCCTAGATTTGAAAGGTACCTTCAAGTACCAGGGTAAAGTGTCTCACAAGAGGCGACAGGGGACAGACCAGGCATAACTCTTGCTGCTTCTAACTACATCCTTTCCAAGGCATATGAGAGTTCATCAGAACAACCATCCCGTACACAGTCGGCACGTTACAGTTGGTCTAACGAAGGACGTATGAGTAGTATTTAATGTTTCCTTGCTAACTTTATATCATTATTGCTTTAAGGGACTGACTTTGGAATTCGAAGAGTCTTGCACAATTATTGACAAACATGGTCATGTCATTTACAGTTGTTGTGGAGAAACATTTCTAGGTGATATTGAGAGTCAGTGAGAGGGCTTGGCTTGTTGTTCACAAGTAAGGTTAGGTTTGATACCAAGAGGTCTAGAAGAGAACTACGTACGGTCTTTGCGGGATTAAATTACATAAGCCATTGTTCAGACCAATCTGGTAGACATTGAATATCATGGTTAAGATTATGTTCTATAAATTCAAGACCGCAGAAAACTCCAGGAAAGAGAGATCATCGGCGAAGTGCCTGTTAAAACTTCCAGAGGATCAACAAGATCGTTTATGTAGGATAAAACAAAAAAGGACCGAGATTACTTGGAGCTGTTTACCTATAGTTACATACGAAAGAAATATAATAAAACTTCATATTACCAAGAACATCTCTGCCATAAGGATTCGATCCCCTGGTCATCGGAGCTTATCAACAGCGCTTCTTTCTGCAGCATTACTGAGAATAATTTCTAAATGTTATAACTCTCTAAAAGGCCCACAGTCTAAACCATTGTATATATGTTTTACAATAGTGATGGGATTATTTACTTTCAGGTTATTTTAGCGCTTCACGGTTCCAGTAAAATGTGAAAATTTGGATGTGTGTAATTAACTTGTTGAGCTCACTGATACGGCATTGATATGTATGTATGTAATCTAGAGGTGTTTATACATTTTTTTTAACTATTCAAAAAATAAAGAATATTTTCCTCGCAAAAATATTCAACCATTTCATAAACCTATTGACAATTTCCTGGACAGTTAAGGGTCAAGCTCATATGACCGTCCATTTATCCATCTGTTAGCATTTTTTCTTGTCTGCAAATTCCTGACTGAATTTTTCATCCTATTTCATGAAACTTAATACAGGTATTTCCGATATCTTATATGATTCACATCACTTACTATAGTTGTGTTCGGGTGGTGCAGTGGATAGCGCACTTGACTTTCACCAAGGCGGCCGGGGTTCGATTCCCCGATCGGACGTGAACAGGTTGGGGTCACCTGCCTGACCACGTGGGTTTTCTTCGGGCACTCCGGTTTCCTCCCACAATAAAACCCCCACGCGCTAACAACCGGGCCAACAAGAGTGATAATTATAAGTTGAAATAACTTGTTTCATAATTGATGTAAAAAAAAATAAAGTGGGGTTTTTTTGGTTTTTTTTATAGTTGTGTTGGTCATGTGCTGTACAAAAAAAAAATCATATTTCATTGATCATTATTCAATTTACATGATATATATATCAGCTTAGTTCCACTTATTTCATAACTGGTATCCTTATTTTGTACTTCAGACAGATGAGGAGGGAGATCTGGGAAATTCGTACGCTGTCTTTCCGTCGACAAATACTGCCATGACCTACAGTACTGACGGCAAAAGACAGATGTTCGAGTATACGTACTGTGACAGCCCGGCTGACACCTCGTCAGAACAGGATTTGGAGGTACAGCAACAAACGAAACTACACAACATACATAGATAATACGTAGTTATCTACAGATTGCGTAGATGTAGACTAAATCAGAAATAACTGGTTTCGCTAACAAAAGAATTATTACATATCTGGTTTTATACACGTATGAATAACTTAATAATTATTACATGTGTTTTCAAATTGTCACTACTGCGACTTCAATACTGTATAAATTTATAACAATATTATAATACATCGAAAGTGATAGTATTTAAGGGTGCAAAGGTCAACTTAAAGGTCAAAGCTACTATTTATAGATTTTCTTCTTTGGCATCGGTCTAGCGACTTCATTCCTACACAGATGTTGATCAAACATTACCTCGACCAAATGTTTGTTTCAATGAGCCAAGGTCAGGGTCATCGTTATCAAGCATATTCCAACTCCTTAAACTGATCAAGTAAAGGTATGAGGATACCTCCAATATTGTGTCAAGGTCACCTGTTAGTATTTATAGATTGTTTGTCATCGCTCCAAAGATTTTATCACTGCACATATTTCATTTAATTTAAATACATGTTGAAAGTAGAAATCCTCGAACAAGGTCGTGTTTCAGGGTGCCAAGTTCAAGGTCACTATTCATAAAATGTCTAACGAATTAATTCTTACACAGATTTTGTTCAAAATTCACATGTACGTTAGTCATAGTATTGGGAAACCTAGAACGACTTTGTGTTTTACGGTGCCGAAGTTTAAGTCTTTACTATCATTGTGATGAATGTACAAATCGTAATCCTACCTTCGCTGATTTAGCATATTATTCAGGTTAGATACGTTGATCTGTTGGCGTTAATCATTTGTGTTATGTCTCCGTAATTCGAACGCTTAGAAGACAGATAGTTTTCGAGGTACAATCAAAACGTACAGGTGATTATACCTCACTCACCGCTAGGTGTCGCTAGGATAGCAAGAGGGTATAAATAGGCAGAATCCAGCGACAATCAGCCCAGTTCTGTTTCGATCTTGGCGTGTTCACAGCAGTGACAGATCGTAAGTACCTAATATATGTGAGACCGGCTTTGTGTTGGAAAGATAGAAGTGACTGAATAAGTCTTGCCTTGATCCACACACTGCCTGGAAGATATATTAAATAAACGATTGAGTGCTGTAGCGAGATACCGTTAGACAGAAGGTGTCACGGGCATAGGCTGTGCAGTGCTAGTCGCGACCAGGCTAGTCGTGACTAGGTATAGTCGTTGGTGCTAGTCGTGACTAGGGGTAGTCGCGACCAGGCTAGTCGTGACTAGGTATAGTCGTTAGAGCTAGTCGTGACTAGGGATAGTCGTGGACATTAGAGAGTGCTGTAGTTGTATACTAGTATGAGGCTGTCGTGATCGGCGCGACTAGGTCATATAGCTAGGTAGCTGACTATAGGGCAACTATAGTGACTAGGGCTAGCCGCGACTAGGTAGTCGAGTTGTGTACTGCCTGGATTGTACGGTAGTGTGTGTAGTGTGTTATATTGATACAGAGCAGATAGCTTTGGTATTAGTTCTATAGTCGTGCAGTAATTATTCTGTTCATATCATGTATTAAGCATTAGGTAATGGGTATGCTGGTTACAAGGTAGTAACACATATTTGTATATATTTGCAACTGTAGTATAGTTATAATTAAGCTTACAGCACAGGGATCCTTAGAAGTGACTAGGGTACGGACCCCGGAACGTTACATAATTTTGGTGGCAGCGTGTGGGATCCCTGTGGTTAGGTTTCAGTATTATAATTTGTGTTTATTAGAATAAACCTGTACTGTTTTTATAGTCATACCTTATAGTTATTTGTATTGGTTTGTGAAGATGGCTAGCTATGTAGAGGATGATGTTCTCAGTCCATTAGAGGATGTCGAGGAAACTGTTAGCCAGAGAGGGGACGGGTCGTACCATGGTCGTACAAGCCCTATGACACCAGGGATAAAAAGGCATGTCCATTATTCAAAATCTACACCTCGTAGACCTAGGGACTCTGGTATTGCATCGAGTGATAGAACTAGAGGGGAATATACACAGCACATAGATGTTCCCAGGCTATCCTCAGATATGGCTGTTGATAAGGTTGAGGATGAAATCAGACAAATGAGGGCTGAGTTGTCTAGGTTACAGACAAAGAGTGAAGGTATTCTAAAACCGTCTCCAACTACAAGGCCATATACTGAAAGGAAATTGGACCACCCCAGAGAGAGAGCCCGTTCAAGAACAGAGCAGCTCCCTGACTATGTTGGTGACATTGATGGAGGTGGTCGAGATTGGGTGACACAAAGGAACTCTCAGAGACGTCGCAGGAGGCCAGTATATGAGCATGACAGCGGTAGTGAGGATGATGAAGAACAAGAGTATTCCAGAAAACCACGCAACACTCCAATGAAGGTCAGACATGTGAAGGCTGCAACATATGATGGTTCCACCTCATGGGTTGACTACAAATCTCATTTTGAGACTTGTTCCCGTATCAACAACTGGTCGGATTATGAAAAGGGTCTTTATTTGGCTGTTGCACTCAGAGGTCAAGCACAAGGCATCCTTGGGGACCTGGCCATATCAAAGCAAGAAGACTATAAGTCCCTGGTCAGCGCATTAGAAGAACGTTTTGCTCCTCCTAACCAAACAGAGTTATACCGGGTTCAACTCTTAGAGAGGCGACAGAAAGCAGCGGAAAGTCTGCCAGAGCTGGGACAAGCCATTAGACGGCTCGTAAACCTGGCATACCCGACAGTGCCCAGTGATGTGCGGGATACCTTGGCTAAGCAGCAATTCATTGAGGCTCTAGCTGATTCAGACATGAGAATTAGGATAAAACAAGGTAGACCTCAAACTCTGACAGACACTATACGGCTAGCTGTGGAACTGGAGGCCTACACTCGAGCTGAAAAGAAATGGAGTGATGGTAAAGCTCATCTGAGATCCACAAACACAGAGGACAGTCCTACTACAGAGAAGGCTAGTGTGACTACAGAGAAAGCTAGTCAGAACTCTGATATGTCTAGTCTATTAAAAGGCATACAACAGCAACTACAGTCCTTACAAGATGAGGTAGTGAAGCTGAAAGGAAGTAATAGGAATTCAAGTCAGCAAAGACCAAATAAAGACAAGGCTAGTCGAAAAACTTGCTACTATTGCAATGAGGAGGGTCATTTTCGCAGGAATTGCCCGAAGTTGAAAAATCAGGCAACCACTGACAATGGAGCAGATAAGCCAGTGGCGAAGCGAGTTAGAACTCGGAGAAGACGGAAACAGACTGAACAGAAGGCTAATATAGGAGTCTCATCAGCTGTTCATGAAGCTGGCATGTATATTAAGACTGACATACATGGTGCCAAGGCAAAGTTGTTGGTCGATACAGGGGCAACCATAACTTTGATTTCTGAAGATCTGTATAACCACATTTCTCCGGCGGCTAGACCCGAGTTAAAGCAGATAAGTAAAGAGGTCTTGACAGCAAGTGGAGACAAATTACCAATCCTCGGACAAGGGAGGTTTAACATCAGATTGGAGGACGACACAAACCTACTGGTAGAAGCGGTTGTTGCGAAACTCACCACAGATGGCATTCTAGGTCTTGATGTTATGATAGAGAGAAATGTAACTCTGGATATGGCCAAGGGTTGTCTTACCTTAGATGGAGTGCATGTTGAGGCTAAATATGAGGGAACTATGGGTTGTTTCCGAGTGTGTACAACTGAGAAGATTGTAGTACCAGCAAAATCAGAGGTCATAGTCTCTGGAAAGGTGTGTGTGCCTGATGGTAAGGCCATGCAGGGGAACGCCTTACTAGTGGAAGGATTTGAATCTTTTTTGAAGAGCGACCGTGCTATCATTGGTCGTTCACTGGTGGACAATACAGCTACAGTGCCTGTACGCATGATGAATACCTCAGAGGAAGATAAGTTGATCTATCCTGGCACTTCCATAGCACAAGTTAGTGCAATTCAGAGTGTAGTAGAGGAAATAGAAGGAAAACAGCCTCACAAAAATAACAGCTTAAGAGAGGACCTGGCTAAACTACTAGAAGCATCGAAAACAAACCTCACCGGCCAACAATACGAGGAGCTGAGACATCTTGTGCAAAAGTATGAAGGATTGTTTGCTGCATCAGATGAGGACTTGGGGCGAACAGATGTCGTGAAGCATAAGATCAATACTGGAGATGCTCGTCCGATAAAACAGCCTTTACGACGTATCCCAGGCAATATGGGACCAGAAGTTGACAAACAAGTGCAGAACATGCTCGACCGAGGTATTATAAAGAAATCCTCTAGTCCTTGGAGCTCAGGCATTGTTTTGGTCAAGAAAAAGGATGGGACAATGCGGTTTTGCGTAGATTACAGACGACTTAACGCTGTCAGCATTCCCGATGCATACCCTCTGCCTCGTATTGACGAGACACTAGATCAACTAGCTGGATGTTCATGGTTTTCGACACTAGACCTGAACTCTGGATACTGGCAGGTAGAGTTGGATTCGGAGGACCGTGCCAAAACCGCATTCGCCACTCGCACAGGGTTGTACGAGTTCCAAGTTATGCCCTTTGGTTTAAATTCAGCCCCAGCAACATTCGAACGATTAATGGAGACTGTACTGGCAGGACTACAGTGGCAGGTGTGCCTCATATACCTTGATGATGTCATTATTGTGGGAAGATCATTTGAGGAGATGATGGACAATCTCGAAAAAGTATTTGACCGATTGTTAGCTGCTGGGTTGAAATTGAAAGCTAGGAAGTGCCTTCTATGTGCAAAAGAGGTTCTATACCTAGGGCATGTCATTTCAGAGTCAGGTGTTTCAACAGATCCTGCGAAAACAAGAACGGTGGAGCAATGGCCTGTTCCTGTCAATGTGCGAGAGGTGCGCTCTTTTCTTGGATTCTGTAGCTATTATCGAAGGTTTATTAAGGATTTTGCTAAAATTGCCAAGTGCCTTCACAAACTCACAGAAAAAGGACGAACATTTGAGTGGAGTTCCTCTTGCCAGGAAGCATTTGAGACTCTTAAGAGGTTGTTGGTAAAAGCACCTGTCCTTGCGCATCCAGACTTTACCAAGGAGTTTATACTAGATACCGATGCGAGCAATGACGCTATCGGTGCAGTGCTGTCTCAGATAGTGGATGATGTTGAGAGGCCAGTAGCATTCGCCAGTCGGACTCTTACTAAAGCAGAGCGAGGGTATTGCGTGACCAGAAAGGAACTGTTGGCAGTTGTATACTTCACCAAGTACCTGCGCCATTACCTGTATGGAAGAAGGTTCACAGTACGGACAGACCATAGTTCGCTTCGTTGGCTGCTGAACTTCAAAGATCCCGAAGGACAGATGGCTAGGTGGCTACAAGTGCTGAGCTCATATGACATGACCATCGTCCATCGACCTGGAGTCAAACATCAGAATGCTGATAGTCTCAGCCGGTTACCCTGCAGGCAATGTGGGTTCGAACCACAATGGGAAACCAAGATTGAGACCACAGATCAGGTTATGAGTGTACAAAACCCCAATGAATGTAACGAGATTGCTTCCCCAGAACTACCAGCAGATAGTGAAGAACTGTCTTTGTCACAGAAACAAGAGGCAGATGAGGATATTCAACTTGTTAGAACTTGGGTGCTTGACAAGAAACGACCACCATTCAACGCCATTGCTGGCAGGAATATCACCGTCCGATCATTATGGATGCAGTTTGAAGCTTTATTTGTCAAAGACAACCTATTGTACAGAGGGAGTTCTAGCGGAAATCCACAGGTTGTTCTACCACGAAAAGAACGAAGGACCGTCCTTTCTCATACGCATGACAACAAGACAGCCGGTCACTTGGGAATGAAGAAAACTCTAGCAAAGATTAGACAAACGTTTTACTGGCCTGGGCTTAAAGGCGATGTCAAACGATATGTAGCTGGATGTGTACCGTGTTGTCGAGGAAAGTCTCCTACCAAAGCAAAAAGAGCCCCAATGCAAATGGTCAAAGCAGGGTTTCCTATGGAACGATTAGGAATAGACATCCTCTGTGAATTACCCCAAACCGACCAAGGAAACAGACACATATTGGTGATATCAGATTATTATACCAAGTGGACTGAATGCTTCGCCATGAGGGACATGGAAGCCAAGACTGTTGCAAGAATTCTGGTTGAAGAAGTAATTTGTAGGTTTGGTGTACCCAGCACCATTCATTCAGATCAGGGTTCTCAATTCGAGAGTGCTCTTTTCCAGGAAATGTGCAAGCTCTTAGAGATTAAGAAAACACGAACGACCCCTTACCACCCAAAGTCGGATGGAATGGTCGAACGATTTAACAAAACGTTAGTCAACATGTTAAAAGGTTTTGTTAATGACCAACAAACCGACTGGGACCTGCACTTACCATACGTGACTATGGCTTACAGGTCAGCTGAACATGAAACAACGGCTAACACCCCAAACTTCATGATGTTGGGCAGGGAGACCAGCACCCCATTGGATATCCAGTATTCAATGCCTCGGGATATCAAAGTCATACCCCAAAATATGTGGGCTTGGCGGCTGAAAGAGAAGATGGAGGATGCCCATCATATGGTGAGACAGCATGTGAAAGGAGCCATGTTGAGACAGAAGAAGAATCATGACTCCAAGCTGTCCTGGCAGAACTTCAAACCAGGCAATGAAGTTTTTGTGTTCTTTCCGAATGTAAAGGTGGGACGAAGTCACAAGTTATCAAGTCGGTGGAGAGGACCGTACAAGGTGCTGACTAAGTTGACAGACGTCACCTACAGAGTGCGTTGCGGACGCAAGGGGAAGTCACAGGTCATCCATGCAGACCGTATGAAGTTACGAGAGGGTCAGGTCATGAGCGGTGAAAATACCCAAGAAGCGAGAGGGTTAAGGGATCGACAAACACAGGTCGATGAGAGTTGTTTCAGCTACTTGAAAGTAGGGGATGCTGCGTCATCTAGAGAAATGAATGGGAGTGTGATGGAAGATGCTCATATGGAGGTGGAGAATGATGTGAATAACAGTGATTCAGTCAGAAATGGAGAGAAAACGTTTGAGAACAACTCCAGGCAAACACGCACTCGACGACCACCTCAGTGGCATTCTAGTTACACTTCAGAATATTAGGTAGATCAGACTATTTGTGTTATCACTATATGAGGGTAACATTTGCTGTTGTAGAAGAATCATAGTGTATATTTTTGATTGATGTCATTACATCTTGGAGAGTTCAGGACCAGAGTTGTTTTATTTTTATAACGCGAGGACGCGTTGTTCTCGGAGGCGTGGGTAATGTGATGAATGTACATATCGTAATCCTACCTTCGCTGATTTAGCATATTATTCAGGTTAGATACGTTGATCTGTTGGCGTTAATCATTTGTGTTATGTCTCCGTAATTCGAACGCTTAGAAGACAGATAGTTTTCGAGGTACAATCAAAACGTACAGGTGATTATACCTCACTCACCGCTAGGTGTCGCTAGGATAGCAAGAGGGTATAAATAGGCAGAATCCAGCGACAATCGGCCCAGTTCTGTTCTGATCTCGGCGTGTGTACAGCAGTGACAGATCGCAAGTACCTAATATATGCGAGACCGGCTTTGTGTTGGAAAGATAGAAGTGACTGAATAAGTCTTGCCTTGATCCACACACTGCCTGGAAGATATATTAAATAAACGATTGAGTGCTGTAGCGAGATACTGTTAGACAGAAGGTGTCACGGGCATAGGCTGTGCAGTGCTAGTCGCGACCAGGCTAGTCGTGACTAGGTATAGTCGTTGGTGCTAGTCGTGACTAGGGGTAGTCGCGACCAGGCTAGTCGTGACTAGGTATAGTCGTTAGAGCTAGTCGTGACTAGGGATAGTCGTGGTCATTAGAGAGTGCCGTAGTTGTATACTAGTATAAGGCTGTCGTGATCGGCGCGACTAGGTCATATAGCTAGGTAGCTGACTATAGGGCAACTATAGTGACTAGGGCTAGCCGCGACTAGGTAGTCGAGTTGTGTTCTGCCTGGATTGTACGGTAGTGTGTGTAGTGTGTTATATTGATACAAAGCAGATAGCTTTGGTATAAGTTCTATAGTCGTGCAGTAATTATTCTGTTCATATCATGTATTAAGCATTAGGTAATGGGTATGCTGGTTACAAGGTAGTAACACATATTTGTATATATTTGCAACTGTAGTATAGTTATAATTAAGCTTACAGCACAGGGATCCTTAGAAGTGACTAGGGTACGGACCCCGGAACGTTACATCATGTATAGAATATTTTTATAACCTCCTAAATTGTTGCTGTAATAATTCTGAAACAAATCTGAAGAAAAGTTTCAATGTTTACAAATCCGACTCAATCTCAACACCATAAAACAGGTATCTATAAATCTATAACTTGGTGTAGTTTTCCTTGTCCAGTATTATAGTTGTGACTCGTATTTCTTGTATGACACATAACTGGCGGCACAGTTGTCTAGTGGTAGTTTAAACAATATTTTATTTCATCACTTGCACACTATACATTACAATACAGTATAGATATAACGAGGATCGGAAAACAAGCTGTAAGCTTATATTAATTCCTCTCCTCTAGTTGTAGTACAGAGGCAGCAATTTACGTGGACATTTACACACATCATTGATGAGACGGACAAAACATCATTAAAATAATGGAAAAAATGCTACAGTTAAACATTATTTGATTGATAGTAAAAGACATTGACAACGAGCTGTTACTTAGTAAGGAATAAAAAGAAAATTGATTGATAAAGATTCCCAAGGAATCACATATAAATAGTTACCTCAGTGGTGTAAAAGAAAACTCATTTAGATATGCAATAGCCATTAAAATCTGCTGCTGTTGACGATAAAGTTCTGCACGGAAATGAATGTCTAGTGGTAGGATGCCGGGCTCGTGACCGAAGGGTTGCGGGTTCAAGTCACGTAACGGCACTGTGTTGTAATTTTGAGCAAGATCCTTTACTCCGCTTGTTCCAGTCTGCTCAGCTGTAAATGAGTACGTGGTTGGGCAGTGCTAGAATTGTTGAATGCTAGCTGTGAGCGCCGAAATGGCAGAACCGGCTATATGCTCCCCAGAGAGTTGAGAAAGATATTGGCTGGTTGCAAAAGCCCTATAACCACGGATAACAATTTGTGAATCCCTTTGAGACGATCTACGAGCTACGGTATATAAGAACCTCGAATTATTATTAGTAGTAGTAACTGTCTGTGTTATATTGATAAAAAGAATACACAGATACAATCATGATAATTTTCAGAAATAGGAAGGAACTTCAGGATCTTTCGCTAGGAGGGAATTTGTATCGTTGCCTTATTTTATAAGATTTAACATTATTTGTATGTTTGTTTTATGTTTCAACGTGACACACAAAGGACACAATTGTTTAATTTCAGTGGGACTTTGAATGTCCAGTTGTCCACAGAGATGACCGACCTTTGACGTCATCACTGAAGTACGCCCGGATGACGATGGGGTCATTAAAAAGTATATCATCCCTGGAATCCGATTCCGGCTATGAGAAAGTAGTGGACTGGTTCAAGCGCTCTTAGGACTCAGATTGTTTACTATATGGGAGCAATTTTGACTGTGTTGTTGTGTCCTGAGAACAGTGTTTACAGATATGAAACAGCATTCGATTGATGATACGTAAAGTCAAAGGCATTTCTTTTAACGTTCTTCATGAACATTGTCTTATTTCGAACTAGTACATTTATACAGTTTCCAATTCCAATTATAATAACATATTCACGCTTCTGCATATTGCATTATCAAGTTAGTGGAGTCCAACACAGCTAGGTCCCATTATGTGATTACATTTGTACACACAAATTATTTAAAAGTCTTACATAATTTTGTTGAAATTTGTCTATTTAAGCCTTTCAAGTTTATTATCAATAGAAACCCAAGAAAATTTAAAAGTGAAAATAACACCAATATTTACAATTTGAATTATATTGAACTGGTGCAAAATAAAAACAAAGAACAATTTTTAATGCATATTCTTAAAAATGTACCAGGAGAATAAGACCATGTGTTTCGGAATTGCCTCGCGTCTTCTCCCTAAATGTAAATTGCAACTGGTTCACCCGTTGTCAGCATAATGTGACCGGGCGGAATTAATGCTGTACTGTGTGCTTTCGGCATGGTGTTTCAGTGACATAGCGCTATAAAGTTGGCATCAGATCCGCGCTATCACAAGGACGCAAGCACGCCAACATACCCTGTCTCCTGCATACACACACACACAAGCACGCATACACCACTGCTGTTAATAGGACGTAAAACAAAATTAGACCAAACCAATCATGTGAATTGACATTCATATAACATCACAAAACAGACTATTTACAAATATTTACATTCTGTATGCTTAGACCCATTGACAAAAATTACATTCATTAATGCATAACACAGGTGTTCATAGAATCTCAGCACGTGGGAACTGATAGTAACCTGATCACACTGCGTAGTAATACACTACAAAAACTACTCACTCGGAACGACCGACCTAGATGCTTAATTCTTACATCTTAAAATATTATTGAACTGTGCTTTGTGAAATATCCACGTATTCACGTGTCCTGTGCTACAAATAAACATTGAATATGGAACTACATTTTGTTGTGTTATTGTTGTTGACGGTTGCTAAGATCTCTCACGATAGTGTCACATTTCCCCGCGAAAAAACACTGTTCTCGCCACTGCGTTGCACCCGTGTATAAGCAGGAACAAACCCTGTTTATTTGTTTTATTCGTTGTTATATCGATCCACTGAAAGGATTCGTCAATGTAAATATAAGGAATGATATTTATTTTTTCAACATTTATGAGGTCATAACAACAATGGGTTTTTGGACATATTTTACATGAATCGCTAACGCGATTCATTCAATATGTCCATAAACCCATTGTTGTTGAAAAAATAAAAATCATTCCTGAAATGAAATAAAGAAAATGGCGATCAAGTTACTTGTCCATAGTCTTCATGCCGAATCTCTAGAAACGCTGCTTTGTCGTCTAGTCTTTTCTGAAGCACGTTCGCCTACGTTCTCTTGTCGAAGCAATTAATGACGTCAACATATATAGATAAAAAGATACACATACATGTACCACATTGAAAAAGTAATCGACAGTTTTTTATGAAAGTTCGATTTGTGTCCGACTATCAAGTTCCACCCCGTAGAGTAGAAAACAAATTTGTATGATTGATCATTACACAAAGCCAAATTTTGAAAGCCATGATTTTTATCTAAATACAAAGTTGTACTTTTGTCTTCAGAAGCAAAAAACGGAAAAACAAATATTTCATAATGACTTAATTATTTCGTATTTATCCTATTATTCTTTCTGTAGATATACATATACTATAGTTGTCAGATGTCATAGGAAATGTCGTCATTAATACTCCATGTGTCGCTCTCATATACGGCCTCTGCGCCCCTGGAATAAGTCCTGACAAAATCGAAGGCACAAATACTAGGCTGACATCTGTCCTTTGAAGATTACAGTAGAAATTACAACCGACTTAAAAGCCGGTTAATCAAACCGTTACGCTGTAGCGTGCTTCCTCTGATATAAAGATCACACTACATCATCTACATATTGGCGCGTTCAGAGCATTCGCAGTAGCGTAGCATACATGTACGCCAGTATGCTCAAGCATACAAAGACATTTCAAGATATTTTTTCAATCATATATTTTCATTAGTTTTTTTTTTAATGATTTATATGGACCGTCCGTATCAGGAAAAAAATAAAGCAAATCTAAAAAAAAATCTCCGATAAAATGGTATTGCTTTGTCAATACACATTGAAAAATCTCGAAGGTTTGTTTCTAGGGCCTCGTGGAATTGTGTTTTCCCCACCTATGGGAAATCCTCCCATACCCTCCCCCTCCTTCGACGCTACGCGATCCTCTGTAAGCATACACTCCAAAAAATGATTTGCTACGCCACTGCATCGATTTGTCATAATATGTTTCAGGGATACAAAGATTTCGGGGATGAGTATATATGTTGTTACCTTGTGGACATACGTCATCGTCTGTAGCAGAGTGACAATATCTACATTATTACATAACATTTTTTTTGCATATCACATTAGTTCAAGAAGGAAGTGCGGGGAAATAACAGACATGTCATATATAAGTACTGTATAGCGCTTTAAATTTGCGGGGTCAATATTTCGCGGTTTCGTATTCAGTACATATTCGCGGGGGTCAAGTTTCGCTGTGCACCCGAATCCCATGTGTCGTGTATAGTATTTTAGTGTCATTATTTAAGGGTTAAACCTCGAAATACAAGTAAACCGTTTGAAAATACTGATCCCGAGCGTCGTCATCCGCCAGTGACTTCATTCGAAAGGAAATCAAATGTGAATCAATTAATCACCTACCGTGTACACATAAATATGTTGTGGCAACTTATATGTAAAAGTGTTGTTTTTACACGAACTGCCCAGTTGTCCGGTGATAATCTTATTTGAGTTCATTTAAGCTTTCATAACAGCGTTGGGTTATAACTATTTCAACATGGTGTGATAAGGTCCGTAAAAGTGATTACCGGTTTCGATAGATATTAGTCAAAGCGCGAATATAGCGAAACTATAACCCCCGCGAAATATAAACGCTATACAGTATATAATTTATATGACGGCCTGACACATAAACTATATAACCGGTCAATTAAAAGAAAACCAAGCAATGTACGTATTGAACGTGTCGCGACGTTTCAATAAATCTTTCCTGTTATGCAACTAAGCTCCGTCTAGATATCTCTTTAATAGTACCATTATGAAATGTAGACATGTTCTGATTGTATCAAAAATAATGCAAGACAGGAAGATGAAAAAGTGGTTTAGGATACACAAGGAAATTCACGGATTAAAAGGCGTAGGACAGATGCAGCTGTTAAACTAAGCCTATACTGAACAGCTGTTGCTTGTACTAATTTAAGTCTGAATAGTTTCAAACAGGTTTCCTTTTTAAGCTATCCCGCCTGAATTCTATCTAGGTGACCGCGATAATATTTGTTGACGCAACGTATTAAACAAGCCGTTCTTAATATGTCATACATTCCATATCATAATAATTACAAGACCTAGATTGGAAATCTGTTAAATTAACACTGTAAGGATAAGCATTAAGTGTGCTGAAAGTGTGTCCCGATTTGATAAGTAGAATCAGAAGAGATTCCGTATCTTAATTGGAGAGGAATATCGTGTTTATGTAACTCTTAACACCTTAGGGAGATTTTTGGTCTCCTGTCATTTAACGAAGAAATTTCCACAGCATTGTGTCTGCTTTTATAAAAATAATCTGTTATTGGAAAGACTACAAATCGTTGTTTTGATAATTTAGGGCTTGCTTGTTACTCCACCAGATACATAGGAGTAGGAACATTGTACAAGGTATGCTACTTGGGCATTTTACAAATTCATTAATTTTTCTCCTTTCTTATTCATAATAGTTCCCTATCTGGTTTCCAAATCTAAACGAGTTTTTACTACATTGTAACATCCATTGGCAAACCAATTCAAAGTTTTATAACCAACAAATAGATAATCCCTAGAATAATTTGGAATGGATATCCTCACCCCAGTGATCGAGTTCGTAAAACATTATAAATCTCGAAGAAACAACGAATTAAGCTTCCTTTCAACAAAGACAATAAACGTATATATTAAATCACCTGCTTTATATGTTGCTATGCCAAGTATTTCTGTACAAAAAAAATATATGTTTCCAAGTTTCAACAAATGTTTTGAGTGTTCCCTATGGTGGCATATTTCTGCCATCCACTTGCGACTTACGAGTTACGTATGTCGACATAATTATTGAAAGATGTCGACATAATCTGAGAATATGTCGACATAATCTGAGAAGATGTCGACATAACTGTTAAATTATGTCGACATATTATCGCATTTGCCGAGATAATTTTGCCGAGATAATTATCTCGTAAGTGGGTAACTCGGCTTTTTATCGTGTTAATGCTCGGGTGTGACATCGACTTGCCACTTACGACTTGCCACTTACGACTTATTTATGTCGACATCCTAGTAGATTATTGCCGACTTACCAAAACGAGGCTTGTGCACGAGGACCGCGAAGGTGGGCTGATGGTGACTGAACAGTGGTGACTATACTGGTGAGTAACTTGGTAAAATCAATGTAAATATGGGAAATCAAAGATATGGATATTACAGTAGGTTACTATGATGTACAGAGTTTATCAATCAAAGAGGGATTTTACATAAATAAGTCGTAAGTGGCAAGTCGTAAGTCGATGTCACACCCGAGCATTAACACGATAAAAAGCCGAGTTACCCACTTACGAGATAATTATCTCGGCAAAATTATCTCGGCAAATGTGATAATATGTCGACATAATTTAAAAGTTATGTCGACATCTTCTCAGATTATGTCGACATATTCTCAGATTATGTCGACATCTTTCAATAATTATGTCGACATACGTAACTCGTAAGTCGCAAGTGGATGGCAGAAATATGCCACCATAGTTCCCGATAGGGAACCATCACGTAACAAGGCTCGATTTCGTTCCCCCCTTTTTTTTTTTTTTACAAAATCGCTAATTATACTCATGTTAGAGAGACTGTGATATTTTTATTCAATCGACTTGAATATTGATTTTTTTACATTATAGAATACCAAACCAAACCAATTATAATATTTACTTATGTACCAAGGAATAAACTTATTAACATCAAATTTGCCAGTGTCCTTTGAAATAACATGCACTAGTCAAATATAGGTAGATACTTCAAGTTTGCGCTCTTCTAGTAAATCGACATTTTGAACGTTCAGTCCATAATCCACATGCATTTTTTTTTCATTTTAGGTAGTTAAGAACAAACGTGTAAATTCATTTAAATGGGCGAATTTTTATTCACTTAAAAATATGTTCTTAAAAGCTTTTTCTTTATAACGCATACTGTTATATTTTCTACAAGGCTACCCCCATTAGCACTTTGAACTAACACCTTAATGTCTGTCGTTTTATGGACATTGTAAAATTATCTCATCAAATATAATACAAATTATGATCATGTACTAGATTATTATTAAATAACTCATGCTTTCTACTAGATGTAAATGTAAACAACCATTTATTTTCATTTTCTATTTTTCCATGTGACGTATTATTGCATGTCATGGAACATATACATTTTCTGGTTAAGAAGGAG